ATTTCCAGGTATGAGCAAGCCTAGCATGCATTGAATAACCTCTACCAGGAATTTTCTGAAGTATTTCTGTTCTTTTACATTTTTATCCAAGCAGGAGGAAGTTGAACATTTGAATTCAGGAATGACTTGTAGAATGGCTCAACAATGTACTTGTGTAAATTATCATTTTCGTTGGAAGAGTCTGAACCATTACTGTCCAAAGATACTGAGCTATGATGTAAAATATTATCGGTTTCTTGCATGAGCATGTAGTGACATTGACATTGAAAGTCTCCGCTCGAATGCTTTGGATTCTTTGGGCAGTACAGAAATAGATTTGGTAAATACCAAGCACCGTGCTCCTTCTGTTTAGTGAGATACATTCTCAACAAGTCACGTATTTGCATGATGATGGTGTCTCCAGTGGGAAGGTTTCCTCCCAGCTTTGGATGTTTGAACGTCACCGAGAGAGGAACTTGAATACCCAAATTTCGTACTCCCATTTCTTTGCAATCATCCATAATTTTCGAATATCCATTCATGATTTGTTCGTATTCTTGTTCATTAGTATTTTCAATGCTATTATTGATACTTCCATTAATACTACTACTCGAAGAAGAGTAATCGGTCTGTGAAACGAGGTGGAATATCAAATTTGCATAACTCAAATTAGAATGTTTGGTAATGAAATAATCTCCAAGTTTGGGAGTTGTTTCATAATCCTTTGAATTTTCATTGCCGCTTCCGATACTACTGCTAGCACCAGTTCTCTCTTGAATATTGTTCCTCACTTGCCTTATTTGCTCGTCAAATGATGGAAAATGAAAATCTGGACCTTGTGCATGATTGGCCTCAAACCGTATTCTCTCCATATCTCGCATGGCCCAAGTCAAGGTTGGAGTGTGTTGCTTGTTTGTCGTCACATGTGACGAGGACGTTACATCCTGATGCAATGTTTCACCCACACTCTCTACGGTAGAACTCTTTTGAATGCAACAATTCACAACAAGTGCACTCAGCCTTGACTGATACAAATTATATGTTTGTCTCGCTTTGAACAGAATATAATCCTCTTCGCAGTCACGTTCCTCCTCATCCTTTTTAAAATTCCTACAAATACAATCACTCATGTCAGCCGTGTAAATAATGAAAACTCTTCCACATAAGCGTCTTGTGCCGTCTCCTTTAAACAACTCAGAGTCTGCATCGTCCTCAATGAACACATACGAATCATCATAGGGACTATACAAGTCATCATTCTCCAAATATATTCTCTCAATCTTTTTGTAAATAGAAATGCAATGGAATCTCTCAGTTTGAATGAGCCGAGGAATATCAGTGAGAGTTCTTCCATCTCTGAATATGCGTTTCATCATTCTTTTGATTTCATTGAGCTTTTTTCGTGTGGCTTCTTGTTCTGAGGACGTTGTGGCATTACCAGGTGGTCGAGCCTCCATCATCGAGATGGGTTGTGGACTATCAATGGCATCAAACGTCTCCAAAACAGTCCATGGATCTTGTGTGGTGGAGTTAGTTTTTGGTGAATGTTTCTTTTTCTTAGCTCGAATCGAGAATTTTCGAATGAACGACGATAAATTTCCAAATTTGTTGGATGCATTCTGAATGGAATACTTGTCTCCCTGTAATTCATTTCTCAATAATAATTCAAATTGTTTTCCACGAGGTTCCATCAATCGAAAGGCTGGGAATAGTAAATCGTCCTTACTTTTCACGAGATTGGCCTTTGTTTTGGATCGATTCGTGAAAGCATCTTCCTTATCTAGATCAGAAACAAATGTCCAAAAAGTAATGACCATTTCCTTGTACAACTCTCGTAATTCTTCATTCCATTTTTCTTCCAATTCTTCTAATTGCTTCATGTGCTCCAAGACCATGACTTGTAATTCATCATTTCTTTCCATAGTCATTTTCTGTTCCATTCCATCTCGATGACTGATTGTGAATTTTGATAATGTTCACACAAGTGACATTCAAAAAGTGTCATTTTGTCATAATTTGGGTCACCATTCATAAGAAGAAGAAAAATAATATTGATAATTATTTTCAATGCTCACAACCTCTTAACACTACGTACACTTTCTGAATTTCACTAATTTCAGTTTCTCTTCCCTTAATTTTATCTTGATAGGCACATCTCAAATCATTTGCAATTTTCACCAAATAAATCTGATTCACATAACTCGAATGAAAAAGTCGATAAAATTTGGAAATGTCTTGAATCGGTAATATTGAAATTTCTTGATCAATGTTGAGAATATTGGATTCATTGAAAGAAGAATACTCTTCCATGTTGGATTTGGGTTGATGATCGATCGGATCGTCCCCAACGACTTGCCAATCATCTTCATCATCTTCATAATAAAATTCATCCACAATTTGATCATTCCTTGTCGTTTGACGTTCCCGAATTAATTCCAATAATTGAAAAGTGATACTCTCTTTTAAATAGAGAGGTAATTTATATTCATTGCAACATGTTTGTTCCACAAAGTCGTACAGAGAAATGTGGGAATACCATTTCAAATGAAGAGCGTGAACAATGTGGCCACGTTCCGAATATCGGTATGAAATTTCCATGTATTGTTGTTGCTCTTCCTCGTCATTGATGAAAATGGGGAAGGTGGATCGAATGAGTTCGTCTTCATCGGCCAATTCGGATGTCATTGTGAATGTCAATGTTGAAGATTTTTTTAATAAAATCACAATTTATTGTTATTATTTAAAACTGTACAATTAAATTAATCTTTGAATAAATTAAAAGTTTTGATAGATAGATATTAGTCAAATGATACAAATGTCCAATAGGTGGTATAGGATTTATTTAAAGCTTGGAAACTCTATGAGTCGTTGATTTTAATCTAAAAACAACATCATAGAGTGTGAATTTTTAATTCCACAGAAAAAGAAATGACAGCTTACAATCCTAGTTTCTTCTTCAATGATGCATCAATAGCATCCATGAATTCCTTGGTGTTGAGATATTGGCTACGGTTGACACTGTTGTTGTGCATGAATGTGATCCGAAAGTAGTTGGTTTGTGTATTTCACAAATTTGTGAAAAATCATTCAGCAGATGCAGAACATATTTAAAGGCAATATTCGTGTTAAAATCACAAATCATCAAACAACACCAAAAACTTACTTGTTTCCGTGAATACAGATAGCCAAATCCTTGGTCATCTTTCCTTCTCTAATAGTGTCAATAGTAGCAGCTTCCAAAGAGTCACAGAACTTGGCCAAAGCATCGTTATTGTCCAACTTGGCACGATGAGCCAAACCACGAGTCCAAGCAAAGATGGAAGCAACTGGATTGGTTGAGGTCTCTTCACCCTTTTGGTGTTGTCTGTAGTGTCTGGTGACAGTACCGTGAGCAGCCTCGGATTCAACAGTCTTACCATCTGGGCACAACAAAACAGAGGTCATCAAACCCAATGAACCATATCCTTGGGCAACAATGTCGGATTGAACATCTCCGTCATAGTTCTTACATGCCCAAATGAATCCACCATTGCTCTTCAAAGTTTGAGCAACCATGTCATCAATAAGACGATGTTCATACCAAATGCCCAATTCAGTGAATTTGGTCTTGAATTCCTTTTCATAAATTTCTTGGAAGATGTCCTTGAAACGACCATCGTAGGCCTTCAAGATGGTATTCTTTGTGGACAAGTATAATGGCCACTTCTTATCAACAGCCAAGTTGAAGCATGAATAAGCAAAATCACGGATGGATTCATCAGTATTGTACATTCCCATAGCAACACCAGCACCTTCAAAGTCAAAGACAGTGTATCTCTTTTGTTCACCACCATTCTTTGGAGTGAAAACAAGTTCCATCTTACCTGGCTCACCAACAACCAAATCAGTGGCCTTGTATTGATCACCATGAGCATGACGACCAATGACGATTGGCTTGGTCCAACCAGGAACCAATCTTGGAATGTTTTCAATAACGATTGGTTCTCTAAAGACAGTACCACCCAAAATGTTACGAATCGTTCCGTTTGGTGATTTCCACATCTTCTTTAATTTGAATTCTTCAACACGTTGTTCATCAGGAGTGATGGTTGCACACTTGATACCAACATTGTACTTTTTAATGGCATGAGCAGCTTCTTCAGTGATCTTATCACTGGTTTCATCTCTCTTTTCAATACCCAAATCGTAATACTTGATATCGAGTTCAAGGTATGGAAGGATGAGCTTTTCCTTGATCCAGGCCCAGATGATACGGGTCATTTCATCTCCGTCCAATTCAACGACTGGATTTGCAACTTTAATCTTTTGGAATGAAGCCATGATGGTTGAGTTTCTAGTAGAGAAGGATCTCACTTGATGATTCAATAATGATGATGGTGTTGTGGTCGTAGCAGAGGAACGAGTCTGATGATGAGCAACAACGTTTGAAGTGTTCAACAACAAGGCTGCTGTGGTGTTGTGTGGAAATTTTTTGCAAAGAGAAAATCCCGATACAGCGGTTTTCAGCATTTTTTGATCGTCAGAAAATTGAGCGAGGATTTGTAAAGGAAAAAAATTCGGAGGTTGTAACGTTGCTTAGTGAGTACACGATGGAGTGCGATCATCATCATCTCCATGATCAGGAATTGATTGGTTTTATGTTGATTTGAGAAACACAAGTTTTTAGGAATGGATAGCATAGCAAGGAGGATGCTTGGATTGTTCTCCTGGATGTGTTCATATCAGCCAAGGCTCGAGAACAGGAATATTTGATCAGATCGTGCGTATGGAAAGAATCTCATCCGCGAAAAGGAATCCAATTCGCGAATTGTTGTTTTTTGAAATCTCAAATCATGAAACCACCACTTGTCACGAAACTGTAAATTCAGCTTGGTCATTGTTTTGCCTGGCCATCTGCATGTGGGTGGTTCAAAAATAAGGTCATGTCTAAGGTAATACTACTCGAACTTGTGGCATGATGAGCAACTATCAACAATCAACTGCTTGCTTTAGGGGTGGCAATTAATCTGCAATTAATACTTCTATTTTGAGTACTCTAGTAATTTTGAAAGTCTCAAACACACTTCACTAAATTCAGGCCTTTCTGAATAATTGGCATTCCAACAAGATGTCATGATTGAAACGAATTCTTGTGTCACGTCACACAAAATATCCAACGATGTTTGTAATGTGTTGGTTTGGTCTATCAAATACACGGAAATCCATTCTCTCATTTCTTCATGGTTTCGAAAAGGTATCACTGGTCTCTCACCTTTCAATACTTTTACAATGACATTAAACCTCGAAACATCGTCACCTTGTTCAATAAATTTGTAAAGCTTTTCACAGGCCGAGTTCAGATATGGAGTCTCTTCAAAGAATAATTCCCACATGATGATTGCAAAACTATAGACGTCTACCTTGTGATTGTAGTTGGAATTTCCTTCAATCATTTCCTGTACGATTGGATGGACACATCAGAAATATGGCAAGTATTACGAAAATCATTTGAACAATGAATAACGTCTTTCCCTGTAGCCATCAATAACTTACATTAGCCATATAGGACAATGTTCCAATATTCGTGGTTGCTGAATTGGAATCTGTCAATGCCTTACTTAAACCAAAATCACAAATCTTTGCTGTGAAATGATTGTCAATCAAAATATTTCCAGGTTTCAAATCTCTATGAATAATTCCCTTTGGTTTCAGTGTATGTAAATAATTCATTCCTTTTGCAACTCCAAACAAAATATCAATTTTCTGAAATAGAGTCATCTTTTCAAATCCATGTTTCAAATTGTAGATTAATCGATCGAGACTTCCTCTCTCCACATACTCCACAACCATATACTTTTTGCTTCCTGCAAGAATAACTCCAAAAAATTGTACAATATTCGGATGTCGAAATGCTTCCCAATAGAGATGCTTCTCGTTCGAATTCTTCATCTTCACTAGAAGCGTCGAGAGGTTCATCACTATGTTTGAGAGTTTTCAATGCAACCTTAGTTCCGTTCCAACTTGCCAAATACACGGTACCATTTGCACCGTCTGCAATTCGTTTCATAATTTCGATTTCGTCAATGGAAATGATCCATTGTGAATATTCTCGTGCATGGTGAGAGGTGTGAGAGGAGACGCTTTTTTTTGAGGAACTTCCATTGTTCGATTGGGATGAATCCTGCTTGTCACCGTCGTGATGATTCACAAGTAATGGTGATTTTTCACCAAGTGAATTGCTGAGAGCAGATTCATGATGGTCATGTCCTTCCATTAACACGACTCGTTTTTCCAAAAGTTTTGACTCCATGAGCTTTTCAGCTTTCTCCTTCTTCTCCAATCGTTTCAGTTTGGAAATGATGTTTCTAATTAAACGAAACAATGCATACAGAGCAAGAAGAAATAATGAGAATAATAGAATGGAGGTAATTGAGGCTACAGCAATGATGGTTTCATAGGGTATATACGGCTCATCCACACAAATCCATGCACCATCTAACACGTCTTGTTTGACAAGACTTTTTCCTTGAGGACAAGGTTCAATGTGAACAATTGTATCAATCCTTGTATTGGTGTCAAGATAAATCGATGGAAATACTTGTCGAACATTTGGTGTGAAAATGGCAACGGTCAATGATGAGAGTGCCAGAGAATTATTGGGGTTCTTGTCATAATTGAGCAATGCATTTTTAGATTCGTCCAATTGATAGCTTATCGGATTTTCCAAGAATTTCACTCTCTCAGATACGTTATTCCATACCGTTATTTCAATACTAGAAACTAATTGTCCAGGATACAGATATAATTCAGGAACTTGATTATTTCGAAAAATGGAGCTATTACCAGATGCGTACTGAATAGACACATCGAATCGAATGGAATGTAATGACTCTGCCAAATCATTTCCATAAGACATTCCCTCGTTTTGATTGAAGATGACGTCTTTCCAGTTAATGGGTGATTGTATGGGTGAGTGAAAATAGATACATCCTCCTGAATAGTATGCAATATTGGACAAGCAATTAAATGCAATACTAAGGGGTGCACTGTTAAACGTTCCAGAACCAATATAAACAGCACCCCCTTTGGATCTCGCAATGTTTTGAATGAATTCCACACTAAATAATGAAAGAAGACCCGTCTCAACATGAACGGCTCCTCCATTAAAAGCACTGTTGTTTCTCAATACAGAGGATTGAATGTGAAGCAAGTAAAAAACGACTTGAAGAGCTCCTCCTTTGCATTCCTCAGTCGTACAAAAATTGTTCTCAAAAGTGGATGAATAAATTTGAAAGGAAGACGTCAGGCCAGGTACAGGTTCATATAGGTTTGATTTCACAGTCATACATGGGCCTACGTTATTTGTGAAATTTAAATCATACGCTCGAATACCTTGTGCTTCTCGAATATAAAAAAGTGGAGCTCTATTGTTGTAACTCGTGACAGCATCAAGAAGTAATCCTGAAGTAGTTTCGACACTAATAATATACTTGTTAGAATTGTCCAATGCTTCCAAATCGGTAAATGTACATTTTCCTAGCGAAATAAATGTGACTCCATGAAATTTAAAGTCTGCCTTATCTCTTGCTGTAACTCTTGAATATTTTGTTTCATATGAAAATAGGTGCTGGATAATATTAGTGCCATAGAATTGTACATCTTCAAAAATAGTGCTGTTAAATTCATAAATAATAAAAGTGGAATTGATGATTCGGCAATAGCTGATGCTGAAATCAATATTCAACTGTCTTAGTGCCAATATCCTATCATCAACTGTAAATTGAAAATTATCAATTTTGCAATAGGTCAATGATATTTTAGATGAAATTTTAGAGGACATGCTCGAGTTTGAAACGTCACAACTTTTGATTTCAATCCAACGCTTGTTTTGAACAGAAATGGTTGAATTTTTGATCGAGCTAAGAGAGATGGTAATGGTTTTTAGAAGTGGTGTGATTGTTGTCACATCTTCATCTAAAATACGGACATGATTCAACTCCACACCTGTCACATCCAAGTTTACGATTGTTGGATACATCAACCATAGATCCATTCTGAATAATTTAATTCCAAAAATCACCAAATTTGCTGCACCTAAATGTTTGTTCAATTTCTGATAATTACAATCCAATGTGATGATTTGTTGTAAATTCAGAGATGTGATCGTCACTTGTCGAAAATATCCATTCACATCAATTAGACATTGTTCACTTCCATACGTCACATTGCCATCACTGTCGTTCATCAATTTTAACAACACCTTTGTAAAACTAGTATTTCTTTGAGCAAATTGAAGAGCCTCCGCCAACGAGGCACACGGCGTTCGAATATTTGTACAATTATTCATGTTATAACTATTGAAATTTTTGAAATTGAACATCCTAGATGGCGAGGGTTGAATGTAAAGTACAAGTGTTTCATCATCCACTGCCACAACATGATTTAAAATCTTTTCCGAAGGTGTTGTTGTTTCCGTCATCATTTCGGAGCGATTGAAAACGAAATGGCCATGGTCCAAAGAAGAAGCACCATGGACCAAAGAGTCCTCCCTTCTCATCATGATGGAAAGACTCGGCAGAATCACCTGTAGCAAAAGAATGATAGAAAGGCATAAAACATGAGTATTGAACGAGTGCTTCTTCGGCAGTTCGGAAAACATTTTTTTTGGGGCGAGAGTTGCCTTCTCTTCCTTGTGACACTTTGAAAATAAAAGATGAAACTCCAACATCAAACAAGAAGACTGTGGCCCATCAAGATTCAATGTATGACAATTTCTTTCAATTCAACAAATTCACAAAAATGTCAGATTGAATAAGGAAATTTCAAATAAGGAAATATTCAATCTGACATTTAACCTTCATTTACACTCTGCCATTTCAACGATCATGGACATGTTCTTTGAAATCCATTTGCAACGAACATTAGTTTAACAATTTTCCAAACCACTACTCCCCGATCCCACACGCTCTCAATCCAATTTTCATAACGACATGAAATTTTGTAATCTTTAACGTTCAAAGATTACATCCTCATCCGTTTAAGAGTTTTTCATCCTTTTTTAAAAAATGAATAGCCTTCTTTCAATGTTACTACTGCACATTGGTAATAATCCTCATCAACAACAACAGCCTCTCATGAACACAACCACCATCGTGATGGAATCTCTCGTACAAGCCTTGATGCAATGGCCAACCAAAGTGTTGGAAAACGGAAGTAGTGTCATGATGAAAACGACCAAAACCATGATGAATTATACAGATGCATGGTTGGGAGGTGCCGTGTCAATGAGTACTCTCTCGGATTCAGGTGTCATCTCATCATCATCGCGTTCGTTATCTTTTCAGGTATTGGAACCAAATTTCATGCATGAATTATTTGTACGTCCACTCAATGAAGTCATTAGAAATATTTCCAATTCATTGGGAGTGGATCAATCGGCAGCTACATACATGTTCTTTCTGATTGCCATGAATTTTCCGTTAGCGTTGGTGTTGAGAATGACTCGATTTGGAATGATGAGAGCTGTGTTGGGAGCATGGATTGGACTTGTTTACACATTCTATACGTTTGGAGTACATACTTTGCATTCGATAGCTGTGCCATTGATGGTATATCTATGGCTGTATGTGACTGTTGGCATGAGTGACCGAGTGGTCAAGTATTTGAGACGCAGCCGAGCTCGATTGGCAGTTCCACTGGTGGCTGTGGTGTTCTCATTCGGATACTTGCTTGTGTGTCACTATCATCGAATGTTAACGGATTATTTAGGATGGAAATTGGACTTTACAGGACTGCAAATGCTCATTACTTTGAAGACCACTGCTGTGGCATGGAATTTATATGATGGTATACTCGTTCATGATCCTGATTCCAAGGAAGGAAAAGGTGTTACCAATCCATACCATAGAACTAACAGATTGGAACGAATGCCATCACTCATGGAATATTTTGGTTTCTTATTCTTCTTTATTCCTGTCTTGTCTGGTCCAATCTATGAAATGAGTGACTATTTGAGATTTATTTATGGCGAGTATGAAGCACATGATATTTCATTTATCAGAGATTTGAATAATAGCACAAGGGAGAGAAAAAATCCACCAATTCCTTGGTTATTAGTGTTGAAAAAGATTATTCTCGCTCTAGTCAATATGGTTCTCGTTTTGCAAACAGCATCCTATTTTGGAAGAGAGCAACTCGAAGATGTCATTTATGAAAGAGGAGATCATCCAAGAGAGCTTTTAGGAAGTTCTCTCTTGTACAAATTTCTGTTTTCATTTGCATGTATGAACTCTATCAAATTTAAATATGTTGTGGGATGGTGCTGGAGCGAAGCTGCATTACTCATTACAGGTTTTGGATATCAAAGACATTACAAGTCTGGTGAATTTTCTTTTTCTGGTGCGGAGGCAGTCGATTACTTTGATCATTTCCTTGCATCCAATCTTCGCGATGTGACAACTACTTGGAATGTTTCTGTTTCAAAATGGTTGAGAAATTATGTATATACCCGAGTTGGAGAAAAACCTGGTACTTTGGCAACTGTTATTACATTTATTGTGAGCGCCATTTGGCATGGTATGTTTTTCTTTCAAAATTTCACATCATTCGATGACTTTGGTGTACCTTTTATGTAACTATGTATTATACACTCATTGACACTATGAATCTATGTCATCTTCTGATTGGGAATGACATCATTGACACGACAATTATAACTCATTCCACTCGCACAACAGGAGTCTATGCAGGATATGCCATCATGTGGATTCATTACGCACTGGCCATGAGTTTGATTGGACGTTTGGCTCACAAAAAGATGAGACCCTATTTTTTGAACGATGTTGAACATCTCTTCTCTGCAAAGAATAGTCGTCTCATGTCCTACACCTACAAGATACTGTCATTCATTGCAACTGGTATTTTCACATCCTACATTTTACCACCATTCTTGTTATTGTCTTGGGATAATTCCATTCAATTCTTTAGATCCATGCAATGGTGTGGTCATATGGCATTCTTTCCAATATATGTCATTTTAACCATGATACCTAGTCGTCATGGTCATCACTCTGAGAGGCATGGTCACAAAAGCGTTGACTCTGTCAGCACGAAAAAGAATCAATAATTGTCTGGACCACGTGTGTGGTGTCTCTGATTTTGATTATTTTTTGTACGTTTTGCAATACAAGTGTCTGACTTTAATTTGATTGGAACATCAAAGAAACGTTTTCCATGACAAGTGACGGTTGCTCGAACAACTTATTCGAATAACTTGTTCATCAACAACACATCATCACGCTAGATGATTTCAACCACAAAAACAAAAACAACAACACAATGTCAGATCCCAACTTTTGTCCTTCACATAACAACTTTGAAGAACAACACGAAGAAGACCTAAGCGACATTCCATTATCTGATTTGATGGAACTGAAAACACAATGTCTCGAAGCAAAAGCCGCCTCTGAAAACAAGAGTAACAAACCACTTGTGCTAGTGATCGGTCCAACAGGAGCAGGTAAATCGGTGATTACCAATTTTCTCGCTGGTAAAAAGATGAGATATGAACAAATTGATCAACAAATGGTGGTTTGTGTGGATGGAGAGGCAGTGACTCCAATCGGCCATTCACTTCAATCAGAGACTCAATTTTCGACCTTTGTTGACGTGGATGCCAATGTGGAATATGTGTTAGTGGATTGTGCTGGATTTTTTGACAATAGAGGTGACATGGAACAGTTGATGGCTACTCTGAGTTTGAGATTGAGCATTCTGAATTCCCCTGTGAAAGGTGTCATTGTGGTCATGGATGCAGCTTATTTTACCTCGAGAGACACCAAGTTACTAGAGACTTCTCAAATTATTGGAAAATTGCTTCCAAACATTGAAAAACTTCAGTCATCCATTGTATACCTGATCAATGACAAGACCAACAATTATGCAATCAACAAGACCGTTATTTCAGATCAAATTGGAAAACATCTCGAGAATGCCATGTCCAGATGGAACAAGTTATTTAACAGTACTTTCAACAAACTTTCACAATGGCGTAAGGGAGGAGACAATGCTTCAAAATCAAGCGCTGATGATGAGAAAGATCGCTTGACCTTTCTTCAATCTATGCATGATCAAATCCATAATTTATTTGTCGTTCGATTTGACGAAACATGTCTCCAAGAAATAACAGAAGCCATTAACAGAATGCCAGGAATTGACAAATCTTTCTTCTCGTTGGATGACTATGATGACAAGTGGAATCAGCTCAAGGAATTATTTCTGCAAATTACGGCCAATGCTTGTCTTGTTTATGAGAATGTCAGTGCCACGCATGCTTTGACTGAAAAATATCAAGACGATGCCAAGCACTATCAAGATCGAATCAAGATATATGAAAAACGATTGAATGAAATTGGAAACAGTGGAACGTTAGAGAGAGACGATTCCCAAGCTGTAGATCGAGTATTAAACCAAATTATCGAAGAGATCAAACAAAATACAAACCGGTTGACAAGCTTTGGCACTGAATTGAATCAACAAAAAGAAACATTGAACCGGTTGGAGAAGCAGATGAAGGATTTGGAGAGCCCAGAACTAGTACAGGTTTTCTCCAAAACCATCAGTGAAGAAAGAATGAAATTTTGGGGATGGTTGAGTTATACAGATGTAAATATCACATTTAAACTAAGTAATTGCCCTCTTGTGGTTGCAAAAGAAGACTTTGATTCAAACACAAGTCGTTTGGATGAGAGAAATGGTCACTGTGTTTCATCTGGTTGCTATGACAAGAGATATGGTAAGTTTTTTGTGTTTCACTTGGTTGAATGATTTTTTGAACGACTCAACCTCTTTTTTAATGATCATCATCTTTGACGATATGTGAAATTGTTCAGTCTCAAAATTTGGCAATGATGGTCTTTGTGAAATTGTGTTAAAGGCTCAGAAAAATCAAATTCCAGACAATAAGGCCTTGTACGAGACCACCAAGCAACAACGTACTCATGTATTGAAGGAGGTTGAGCGACTTGAAGGAAATATCCGTGAGTTAACAAGTGACAATGAACGTTTGAAACAAGAGGAAAATGGAATTAGTTTAGGAAAGCAAGGAATCGCTCAAAAGAAAAAGCAAATGGCGGATGAGAAGAGAAATTTGCAATCTGTAATTAATCAATTCAAAAACAGTAGTAATGATTTGAAAGAGAAAATTACCAAGTTAACCAAACAAATGGAAAGTTATGAAGAAAAAATTACATGTCGTCAAGCCATTTATTCTGCCTTGTTTGACATTTTGGAGCTTTTGGGTCTCCAAAATAAGTTCACAGAAGAATTTAAAAAACATTACAAGAATTACTCAGAGAAACAATGGGCATTGGGAAATGACGACTCTTCAGAGAATCGAGATTCAGAGATTTTGGAACATTTGTATTGTCCAATTTCATTTGAACTCATGATTGATCCAGTGGTACTTCCTTGTTGTAAAAAGACGATTGATAGAGATTCTATTTTCAGAGCCGTAGACACCTCAAGAAAGCAGCAATGTCCTCTGTGTCGACAAGAGTTGACATTTGACAGTCTTCAATCTAATTCAACTGTCAGAGACATGGTCGAACACCATCAAACCACTCATTTCATCCACAAAATTTCTCAAACCTTCTTAAACTCACAACCATTAGAAGCGCTACAAATCAAAGCAGAAGAAACTGAAAATCAAATTCAACAACTGGAAGCACAACTTACCACGAAACGTGAAGTTTTAGAGAAGATACGCTTCGCTCTAGCAAGCAGAACAAATAACCATTGAAGAGAGAATGCTGCTGCTCTTCTTGGTATGTGAATTTCCCTTAATCATGATCTGAATGAACTCTAACTGAACTTGAAGTTGTCATCAATTAATTAAACAACTCATGAAATCGATATTCTCAAAAAAAATGATGAACTGGTGTGATGATCACACTGTGAGGCTGGTATTATTGGATTTTTCTGGAAACCATTCGTTGCTTAGGGATGATGATACTCTTCCTTGTAAACACAGCACACCGGTAGAAGAACATTCTAGAATTCGGAGGTTGGAATTTGTATTAAAACAGAAATTTTTAAAGCAACAAGAAGGAAAGAAGAAGTGGTTGTTGAATCGGGAATTGAAATATTCGTCGTTCTTTCCAGTTGAGTTTATGAATGATAAAAAATTTGTATTGAATCATATCAACAAGTATGGGTATGGATTAAAACATGCATCGGCACAATTGAAAGATGATAGAGATTTTGTCTTGAAGGTAGTTAAAAAACATGGAAATGAATTGCAGCACGCTTCTTCTAGTGTTCGTAACGACAAGAAAGTGGTATTAACGGCCTTAAAGAGCAACGACTATGCATTGGCACAGGTCTCAAAACGACGTATTAAAGATCGTGAATTTGTATTGGAAGCAATTCGGCGGAATGGAAATGCTCTGTATAGTGTTGGACAATGGATAGAAGATCGAGAAATTGTTTTAGCTGCAATGAAACAAAATGGTGAAGCATTGCGTGTGTTGCAACTCGTTCATATTTACAATTTGGAAATCGACGAAGAAATAATTTTTGAAGCTATCAAACAAACAAAGCGATCTCTGCAATGGGTACCAAAATATTTACTTGCAGATCATGAGTTCATGTTGAAGGCTCTCAAATTAATATTTCCAGAACTTTCCTCTTTTGATTATTCAAAGAAAGAAATAGTGACTCCAATTGTGCAAGAATTTGGATTTTTACTTGAATTTGTAAGCGAAGAGCTCAGGAATGATCGAGATATTATTTTGAATGTAATCAAAAATGATGGACGTTTACTTTGTTTTGCTTCTGACAATTTGAGTAATGACAGAGAAATTGCAATTGTAGCGGTTCAGCAAAATGGGAGAGCATTACATTTTGTCTCTGATGAATTGAAAAGAGACAAAGAGGTTGTGCTTGCTGCTGTCAACCAACAGGGTGGTGCACTTGAATTTGCAGCAGAAGAATTGAGGAATGATAAAGAGATTGTATTAGCTGCTGTACGACAAGCAGGGCATGTTCTACAATATGCATCCAACGAGTTGAAAAGCGATAGAGAAGTTGTACTAACAGCTCTAAGACAAAATGGTCACGCTTTGCTATTTACAAACGAAACGATGAAAAATGACCGAGAGCTAGTCATTGAAGCCGTCAAACAATTTTCGGATGCTTTTATATATGCTTCAACTGAGCTTTTGAGAGACAAACAATTCTTATTACAGCTTGTTCAGCTGGGCTGTAAAGATGTTGTTTCCAGCTCACCAAGAGAATTTTATAATGACAAAGAATTCTTGTTAAAAGCTGTCAAAGAAAATGGTCTTGGAATATTTGGATTCGGTTATCATACATGTCGTGACAAGGAACTCTTGTTAGAGGCTGTGAAAAATAATGGAGCAGCATTGACATATGCAATCCTGGAACTGAAAAACGATCGAGAGCTTATTTGTGAAGCTCTCAAATGCAATGGTTTTGTGTTGGAGTACAATGATGTATTGTATCAAGAAAGAATGACACATTGCTACTTTGATGCCTATTTGGGAACAACATGAGATGTTTTTTTATCAACAAACCTCATTCCAATCAGTTTTGTATGATCCAAATCTTTTTCCAAATATATATCAATTCTTCTTGCTAATTTCATAGGTTGAAAAACTAATTAATTGGGTAACTTTTTAGTAATTTGATAATGAGGATTTTGTTCATCAGATACAGTTATTGTAACAAACCAATTAATAATTGATGATGCGAATAGGCATGACGATGATGAGTGACAATTACAACTTTATTCAACATACGATTCAATATTGTTGCCTGCAGTAAAATATGTTCAGTTCTGTCATTCCCTTGTTCGGAGGCAATGTCAAAGGGCCAGCAGGAGAATAGTTCTTGGTAAGTGGGTTTTGTTCTGCATTCTTTTTGTTCTTGTTTTTGATTTTTTGAGGGTCAAAATATGTAAATCTGCATACGTTTCCGTAAATATACATACTTTTGACCTGATTGACAAAGTAACTGCTTACGGCGGTGGACTGAAAGGTTAAAAACGTTACTTTTGACTTGACATTAATGCTCACTTGTTCTAGTACTCCCAGCGAATCAATGAACTGCTGTACTAATTCCTTGCTTGGAGTGCATTGCGGGTGATGAAGAACAACTTGAGTATTATTAGTATTGGGTGGTTTCTGGACGAAATTGTTGGGTATCACTGTCGAATTTTCATGACTACTCTTTCGTGTTTCTGACAAGCGCACGGTATCCACAACAATATTCGATACTTTGCGAAGAAAAGCCAAAGACTCCATGTCTGATGTGATGGGTTCTACACTTAACCCGTACTTGTACTGGTTTTCAATTGGATTTGCTTCATACATCCATTGCTGAAAGGTTCGTACCATCTTTTGAGTACACGAATGTATTTCAAAGAAGTAATAGTCAATCTTTTTGTGTACCAGTTCCTTCACTAGTTGTTCTGTACCAGACGGATCGTGTTGGTAATAGTACCAGTCGTCTTTTTCGGCAAAGTTATGATGATGCGCACCATGCCCTGGTGCATCTGCGATGTGGATCAAGACTCGAGTGAAGCTTGCCCACTCCATATTCTTGAGAACCTGTTCCAAACCACCATCCACATCTTCTGGATAATCTCCACCTCCAAAACATTGCACCTGCTTCAACTGGTGCACAATATCAGTCTTGTCAAACGTGAATGGTTCGACAACAAATCTCTCCGTACAATCCAAGTCTCGATAACCGACAAACCCATAACGAATGGATACATTTCTGTTGACCTTTGATACTTCATCGATGATACTGGTGATGACTTGAATTGATTCAAGAAGCCACTTGTCCATGGACTTGGTAATATCCAAGAGAAAGCACAGATCAATGTAACGAGGAGATTTTCCCCAAATATTTTGTTGAACACTATTGTGCTGAGTGATCTTCTCCAAAAGAGAATCGAAAGTAGGCCTATCAAAGAAACCAGAGTTTTGCTCATCCACGATCATGGCCATTACTTTCTCCTCCAAATGGTATCTGACTTTGCATGCCTTGAGCAAAGGAACAAGACTACCCACTGGCACAAGTCCCCATCTGTTGGCAAATTGAAGGAAGATGTTGTTGACATTCATCGTGATTGAGTGATGATTTTTTGAAAAATGGGATTTGTAATCCGTTTTTGTGCCCTGAAGGAGATGTTCAAGAGCGATTCGGTTGGGAATTCCGTTGCGAGATGGTTTATTTTTGTATTCTCATCATCATGTCATCTTTCACACATCTGTCGCTCAACAAAAAAAACCCCACCATGCACAAGTCGCAAAGGCAACAGCACTCATCTCGAGGCCACAACACGCACTCATCCTTGCTTGAAAAGCTCAAGACTATCCAAGAGAAAGAGTTTGAATCACTCGAACCAGCAACGAAAGCTCTTCCAATCATTCCACCTGATCAAACCCTACCCGAGCTCTTAGGAACCAAATATATTGACAATGATGATGCGTTGTTTTCATCCTGTTATTCTGACCGTAAACAAACAGACATGCTGTCCACAAGTGGAGATCCAAACGGTAACTCTAGAGCGAGAATGGTTCATGTTTATGATCATCTCTTACACCCTCATTGTTGTGAGAATACAGATTCACGAATTCGAGTATGGACAAATCCTGGTTTCCAAACTAACGGCTCTACATCCCGTTCTGTCAATTTGTTCACGAACAACAACAAGGAAAATGAAAAAGACAACTGGCTCGACGATCCATCTGAACTCTCTAGTATCGAGCATGAATTTACTTTCAGAAACGCAAGAATTTTGAATCAACTCTCTGCTCCAAGAAAAGCCTATCGCCCTACCCACATGGATTTCCGTAGTACCATTCATTGGGGGCAAAGAAAGTTGTTAATGTCAGAGATCGAGTTTCTTACGTTGTTTGCTCCTTGTGCAGATTATTATGGCGCAAACAAACAAATTATTGTTGTTTATGCCGGAGCTGCTCCTGGAAGACACATTGCGTATCTTGCAGAGTTGTTCCCTTATCTTAAATTCATTCTTGTGGATCCAAACAACTTTGATCCAGACTTATCCAGTTCTGAATTCTTGCGTGAAAGAATTCAAATGAGGCAAGAGTACTTTACCGAGGAGATGACTCGAGAATTTAGTTCGGAAAACGAGCAAAACAGTGATAAAGTATTCTTATTCTTGAGTGACATTCGAAGCGCCGATCCTCACCAACAAGCCTACGACGAACATGAAAGTTGGGTGAAACAAGATATGGACAGGCAAATGAATTGGATTGCAATGATGAAACCAAGATATAGTATGGTAAAGTTTAGACTTCCATATGATCCTGGATACACTTTGTACCTGGATGGATGGATTTTCCTTCCCATTTGGGGTAGACAAGCCACAACTGAAACACGACTTGTGGTAGATGGAGAAAATATGAAACTTAAATGGTATGACAACAAAGAATATGAAGAGCAAATGTTTTATTTCAACAGAGTCACTCGCATTTCACTCTTTCCTCATGTTGCACGCTCAGAAGGAATTGATTACTGCTACGACTGCAGATCCGAAGTATTCGTTCTGGAAATGTACTTGAGAAGAGTAAGATGTATTCTTGAAAACAAAAATCAACCGTCCCTTGCTCTATGTCAAGAAATTTCCTCCATGATTGAACGAATTACACGAGATATCAGCGCATACCATGGCAACAGAAACTTGTTCCAGGTGATTCGTAGCAGTGAATTTAAATTCAACAGAGTGAAGCATTTGAGGCCAGAGGAACAAAGAGATGCAAGTAAGCAGCACCAAAGAAAACTTCAGGTGAAAGAGGAAGATAGGTACAGACTTCAGAAAATGGCTGTTATGAGGCATCAGAATGAACAAGAACACAAAATGAGAATGCCAAATCATCAGGTACGTTATGCTTCACATCCTGTTCATCGTCAAGAGTACAGACGTCACAAATCAAATTCATATGGACCTGTTGATCGTAATAAAAGGTAAACGTTTATTGTGTTGTTTGAATGGACACAATAACGACCAATGGGTCCACATGAATAAAAATAACCGTATGAATTCCCATCACTCATTGCTGAATGGTTTTAATACTGGTCTCTGAACATACCAAGGTCAACAAAGAAAAAAATGTATCAATATGGAATTGTGCCATGGGTTGAAATTAACAAGAGCTGGTATTGCTTATTGCAAGTTAGCTTTTCCTCGTATGAACTGGACGTCAAACTTGATCCTTTGAGAGGAACTATGAAACCGAATGAAACACCAGTCCAAACTGCAATCAGAGAAGCAAAGGAGGAGTCCTTCAACGTTCTTGATTTCAGTAACGTTGAACATATTTTAGCAAGACAAAAACCTGTGTTGGGATTGTATCATGTCCAGCTGTTGTTTGATTATGAAAACGCAATACAAGATATTCTACTGGCTTTTGATCATCAACAAAAGGATAAGAAGGAAGTGGACGGTTTGATGCTTTTTACACAAGAAAAAGGACCACCCAAGGGTGTTCGTATCAGTTCACAAGTGGAATCGATGCTTCAGAATATTCCTGCTAAAATTCCTGTCAAGATGAAAAAACGTCAAAACCTCACATGTGTATCTTTTGTCGCCGAACCAGTTTCAGATCCAGCTACTTCTTGTACAACCGTGATTGTCAAACACTATTTCACAAAGTTTGTTCACAGGTTACAAAAGGAAGAAGGCTTTAGAAAGAAGTTTATCCAACAAATGATCGTCCAAAAGCTGATCGATTATCCACAAGATTTGGATGCTGTTAGAGAAAAACTCAAGGATGACCGTGATAGTTTCCGCGTAATTAAGAAGAAATGGAAGAGAATGAAAAAGATGATGACCAAGAAATAAATTTTTTCTCTGATTGTTGAGCTGAAATATAATTTTAGAGATTTGAAAGTGACGAATTCTCTAAAAAATGTCATCAAAGCATTGTACGTTTAGAAACAGTTATGGAATAGTACCTTGGTTGTTTATCGACGGAGAATGGCACTGTATTCTACAAATAAGCTTCTCTTCTCAACTTCTTGACGTCAAATTAGATCCAATGAGAGGAACACCCAAGAACAAGCAAGAGACTCCGGTTGACACTGCCATTAGAGAAACTTTGGAAGAATCAGCACATGTGTTTGATTTTAGGAAAGCGAAGCCTAACTTCCAACGTTTATTTAAAGGCCTGTATCATGTAAAAATTGTATTTGATAACGATCAAGATATTGAAACGGTGTTGAGTGGTTTCGACAACAATCAAAGCATTTTAGAAGAGAAGAAGAGATCAGAAGTCAACGGCTTGGTTCTTCTCAGATACAAGGAAACCAAACACCCCATTCGCCTTGCTGATCAGATCGTTGAAATGATGAAAACAGTCCCACCATTTGATGAGATGCGGTTAGTAAAGATGTTTAAGAAGACTTCTGACAACGGATTGATTGCCTTTGAAGGAAGAACGGCTTATGGGTTTAGCAAGCAAGAAACGACAACCAGCAAACAAGACAACACAACGGAGACTTCATGGAAAGGTTCGTCGTTTATGCACAAGGTGTTGGAATCTGATGATTTCTTGCTTTCATTCAGAAAAGAGCAAATTGTAGAAAAGCTAATTCAATACCCACAAGATCTTGAGAGGGTTAAAACTGAATTAGCAAAACCCATCAACAAGGCACTTCGCTTTGAGGAGATAGAGCAAGAAGTTGAAGCAAGAAGAACAAAACAAACGCAATGATCATCTCCCACAATAAAACTTGTGCCACAAATATGAAATTCATTCCAAAAATCGTTGAGAACGAAACAAGAAATCCCGCCCTCTTTGACAGGTGACAAAATGACCAACTCAAAAAAATCAGCATGTACCAAACACTGCCAGCAGACAGAGTGTACGATGCTTTTCAACGTGTTGCTGTATGGGACAACCACCGAAAATCCTTCATTGTAGATATACCATCTCTCTTGTCCTTTATGAACGGAGAGCCAGTTCGATCATATTTTAAAGATGACCAGCTGCTCGAAATGCTGAGATACATTTGCCAACAACAAGACACTTGTTCGTATGATGAATTCCAAACGTTCATTCAACAAGTGGCAACCGAAGAAACAAGGATGAGATCCATGGCACCTACCAAACCTAAATATATCGATGTTTGTTTTTTACTCGATATTACCGATTCCATGCAACCTTGGATCACCTTGTCCAAACAATGTATTCAAAGAATCATCGATGAAATGAAAAAAACAGGATCTCAGTGCGTCATTCGCTACGGTTTTGTTGGATATAGAGACAAAACCGACCAGGAACCGTATACTTTTCAGCCATTCTGCGTCGATGCTTCTCATGTTGTTACGAAACTGGAAGGATGTCAAGCAAGTGGAGGCGATGACTTTGCTGAGGACGTGGATGAAGGTCTCAACGTTGTATTAGCCATGGACTGGGTATCATGTACAAGAGTATTGATTCACATTGCGGACGCTCCTGGGCACGGAAATCATATGCATGACTTTGGACCACAGTACGATTATTATTATGAACATAGCTCCTCGCAACAAACTTTGAATCTGTTATTGTCTTTGGTTGAAAAAAAGATTGATTACACTTTCTTTCAAATTGGTCCTTATACAGAAAAGATGACGACGTTGTTTCGCAATCAGATGGAACAGTACAACGAGAAAAACAGCTCTCCAAAGTATGTACTGTCTCTAGACAACCTTTCAAACTCGATTGAGGACACTGAGTTTTTGAAAAAGATTACAGAGCGAATTAAACAGGCTCAGGATAATTCTGCACTTCGTATCAGTAATAGTGAAATGGCTAAACAGTTGATAAGAAATGTAAACTTGAACGCTTTGGACGACATTGAATGGGAGAGAGTAAAACAACTGCCACCAAGAAAGGGAAAAACCATTACGTTTTTATACCCATTTAAAAATATGAATGGCAAGAGCCCTCGTGAGTTCTGGGAACAATTCAGCTCGTCATCATCTCCTAAATACCAATGCCATCAAGTTCCTATTAGCATTGCCATCGATACAGAAAAGTACGGTGAAGGTGCACAAAGAACATCTTATCGTGCTTTTGATAAAGGTTGGGGAGTGAAGCTCTTGGTTAAAAAGTGTCACAGTTGTCGCTCGATCGAGGAAGAGATCGCAACCTGCAAAGAGGTTGTGGAGGACCAATACGTTTCAAAAGTAATGGCTGACATTTTCAACTCCAAAACTGACATTGTAAAGATTGGACTCAAAGTACTTGAAATTCAATTGTTGGTGTTTACTGATGCCAATGACGACATTAGTGAAATTTATACCCTCGAGTCGTTTATTGAAGGAGAGTACATCAAATATTTTGATAATTTGGGAAATAATGTATTTTATGACAACGTATGTACAGACATCAACTCGAAAAACGCTCATGAAGTAGCACAAGCATTCTCTCATTGGACATACGAAGCCTCTGGCCAACAAATGCTTGTGTCAGATATTCAAGGAGTGGGTTATTTGATTACCGATCCAGCGATAATTACAAACTATGGTTGTCGAAGTTTAACAGATATGGGAAGACAGTCCATTGAGAACTTTTTTTCTTCTCATGTTTGTAACACCTTGTGTAAGAACCTTGGCCTTACAAGTCAGTATGGTTGCCAAACGTTGTACTTGCCAATGAATACTAACATTCCTAGAGGAGTGTCGTTCTACAGATTCTGTTCTGGTTATGGATGTACAAATTTCAAACCTTTCAAAGCAGGAGATGCTCTTGGAGTGCGTGAATACGTTACTTATTGCGACAAGTGCGAGAAATTAACTTCCATTAAGGCTGAAAATCAGCACTGCAAAGTTCCCGGTTGTCCTTTGAAGTTTTACGTCGACATTTGGTTCTGGCACTCTGTGGGAAAAAGACCACCAACCAAATGTCCTTATCACAGAGGAAATCCAAGAATTGAAAAGGATTGGGTTAAGGAAAATCGTCTTCCATATGATGCAAGATTTACATTAGAAGAATTTCACAAGTACTTGGAGAAGGAGAAGAGCAAGAAAAAACCACAGTTCAGCGAGAAGGTGAAAAATACTGAATGTCGTTCTCTGCTTGTTAGCAATCTTCCATCTGACATTAATGACAATACTATCAGACGCATGTTTGGCTATTCTTGTACCATGTACCCATTTCGAAAGAACGCCATCATTGTGGAATTTAAAACAGAGCAAGAGCAGTTGGAAAAGTTAGGACTTCAAGGTCATATTGTTGGAAGACGGATCCTCCAAGTGGAACAGTATTTTGGCGAGCTTCCTTCTAAAAGACTGTTTCTTAAATGCAAGTCAGATTCAGTTGACATGCTGAAAGAATATTTTAGTAGATATCAAGTGACGCCTAAATATATAATTAAGGAAGTAGGCGTTTTCATTCAATTTTCTTCCATCGAAGAAGCTTGTCGTTTTGTGAAACAAAAGCCGTTCGGAAAAGAACCATTTTTGTTTTCACGACCAAAAGAGAAGTCCTTAAAACACAACAAACATAATGATGGTGGTCACAATCTTAACGTTATGTGTAGAGCAGAATCAAACTTTCTTCAGTATCAAGATCCAGGATATTATTGAAGTTCGCATTGTTTTCCACTCTTAAAGCGCTAACAAATGATAAAGTTATTGAACTTTTTCGCCTCGACAGCAAAATCATCTCAAATAAACTCACCAATTCACAACGTCAATGATGTTGCTGATACTTGATGTTCATCAGACATAATACATTGTTGATGTCAATATTTCTTATTGAACTCATTTTTGTTGTACAATACTCACTAAACCTTGAACTGGAAATGGATACGGCATTTTTCCACATAAATTTTCATGCACTTGAACTCGCAATTCATGTTCTAAAATATGAGCCAATAGTTGGCCATCTTGAGGTGTGACGTGAATACATCCAAGAGAGTTGGGCATTGGATCGTTACATTCCCATTCTCCCGTGTGAATGAGAATGCCACATCGAATGGAAGGATAAATGTGAAGGGCATTTCCCTTAATTGAATTAGTTCAAGTTGATTCATTCATTGTATTATCAATGAACATTTGAAAATGTTTCAAATCAATGATCCATTCCAATCCATTCGAATGTTTGAAAATATTTCAAATGTCAATTTCACAATATCCATTCAACCCACCTTTAAACCTTGAATCAATCGAACGACATTATACGGTCCAAAGCTTTTCACATCTTGAAATGGTGAATTCAAATCACAAGTATACAATCCAGTAGGAGTATCTCCATAAGTGGTTAATTGATTCAATCCAATTTTTCCTTTCGTTCTTCCTCTAAATTTAAATTTCAATTCACCACGTGCGTCGAATAGCATACATTCTGTTTCAATCGTTCGATCCTCCATCACTGGAATGTACAAGTAAAATAAATAAGGTGAAGGCAAACATGTCAAAAGTAGAAGCGAACCATTTTCTTGAAATTCTTTCCAATCAATAAATTCTTCTTGATATTCATCATACATGTACAATTTCAATAAATGTTGAGCCATCTCGGGAGTAAAATTTACAATTTTCTCATCATGAAATGTTTCTTTCATTACGTGATGAAGTTCTTCTTGTTGGAATACAAATTCTTGTAACACTTGTTCCGTTGCATCATTCATAATTCCATTCATTTCCAATCGTGTTTCTTCTTTTTCAATGGTTGTTGTTGTTATGTAAACTACTTCTTTATCAGTTGAGAGCTTTGAATGTTCCAATGATGATAAAGGCACAATGGATTTCTTGCATGTTCCGAGTACGAGTTGTTGTTGTTGTTTCTTCTTCCAATCCTCAAATCGAGATAATAATAATTGTAATATCAAAACATCGGGACCAGTATCGCCATGATGTAATTCTCTACGAAATGGAGGAATTGGAAACGAAAGACTTGAATGATGAGATGCCATTTTTTTTTGTTGTAATTTATGGAACAACCAATCGTTTGACGATGGGTGTAACAACAACAAAACTGTTCTTCCATCATCGATACTAGTATTTCATATCAACACCCAACCAGTTGTAGGCGTTCAATTTGTTGATTCGCTGCTCAGCATTACCAAAAAAAGAAGGTCCCAAAGTGTTTTGTTAACACTTCCATCTCCTTTCATGATCTCACCATTGCAAAAAAAAAAATCAATTCCAACCATGCTGGATCGCCTTATCGTTGCTGCTGTGGCTGTTGTTGTTGCGGTTTTGTTTCTTTCCATTCTGTGGTCGAGTCATTCTGTTCATGCATCAAATTCAACGTTTGAAATTCATTTATTTGTTTCACCAACGAAGGGCAATGATCTCTTTTCTGGAAATTCCACACAATTTCCATTCGCTACCTTGGACAAGGCTTCTTCGATGGTGACTCTTCTCAAGAATTCGAAATTGACTTTGAATACTTCCATCTATGTCAATTTGATGCCTGGCACTTTTTATTTGAATTCGACATTGGTGATTCCTCGTCCTTCGAAATTTAATGATCAATTCTCTCCAGTGACATGGAGACCCATTCCTGGGAGCTCGAGAGGAGATGTGAACATTACTGGAGGAATTTCCTTACCTCCGTATATGTGGAAAAAAGTGACATTGGATGAGCATGCATCGATTTATGAAATGCTTCCACTTGGAGCGAGAGGAAAGGTCTATCAATGTAATTTGACACTTCTATCACCTTCAGTAATTGCTACTCCTTTCAAAGTCTCTGGCCGGATGGATGGAAAAGCCTCCGCGGGATCGGAGTTGTTTTTCCGAGACTTTCCTCAGACCGTGGCAAGATATCCCAACAAGTTGAATACACAATATGAGAGCAATCCGAGTCTCGTGTTAGATGTCTACATGAAAACTGCTTCGAAAGGAACCAATTCTTTTCTTTTCAACAGCACTTCATGTCCCAATAAGAGCAAATGGTCCAAAGAACAAAATGGATATGCTTTTGGTTATTGGAAAGATGATTATTCAGATTCTGTCGAAGGGATTCAAACCATTGACGCCAACGGAACTGTAGTGTTGAGAAATGTCGTTGCCGATGGATCGATCGCTTTGGGAAGTAATTTTTATTTGGTCAACTTTTTGTGTGAGCTCGATCAAGCTGGAGAATACCTTTTGCAAGATAATGTTTTGTATTTCTGGCCTCCTGCTCCGATTGAACATGAAAATGATGTTGTTCTTTCATTGACGGAAACACTCGTTCAAGTCAATGCCCATGCACAAATTTTTGATTCTCTTGAATTTGGATTTGTCCGAGGAAATGCCATCTATTCGTGGAACAGTCATTACATTGTGGTGAATAATAGCATCATTTCGAATGTGGGAGCTATTGGATTGTCATTGTTAGGTTGTCGAAACTGTTTGGTCACTAATAATGAAATCTTTCAAATTGGCAAAGGAGGTGTCATTGTGACAGGTCCACCCAGTGATCGAGCCAAGTTGATTCCAAGTAACAATTTCATCTCGAACAATTTGATTCATAGTTTTTCTCGGGTTGGAAAAGTTTATCGACCTGGTAAGTTTGTTCACGATTTATTTTTTTTGACAACATGTCGCTAATTATTGTGTTTCTATCAAACCGTTTTTGGATGGATCGAACTCATGAAACTCTCAGCTGTTAGAATAGAAGGAGTTGGTGCTTTAGTCACACATAACTATTTTTTTAACGGTGATCATGCGGCATTAATGCTTATTGGTAATAACCATGAAGTGTCTTTTAACAAGATTCATGATGTGGTTAAAACAAGTGACGACGCAGGTGCTATCTATATGGGTAAGTCATTTTCATTGAACATTCTTTAATTTCAATAATTTTTCAAAATTTCCAATCTGTCAAATGCCAAAAAACACAAATCAGGTCGAGACTGGACCACACGTGGCAACGTTGTCAAATATAACTTTATCTACCGAGTTCGAGGTCTCACTTGGGGAGCTGCCTGTATCTATCTCGATGATGTTTTTTCAAGTGCCATCGTTTTCGGAAATGTCTTGTACGATTGTAATCGCGGAGTCATTGTCGGAGGAGGTCGACACAATCAAGTGCAAAACAACATTTTCATTCGAAATTGGTCCAGTATTCGAATCGACGCTCGTGGATTGCAATGGAACGATGACGAATGGCGTCGATCCATTTGGAATAATTTATGGGCAGTTCCTTTCAATAGTTCGCTCTGGGAACAAGCGTATCCAGAATTGACGAGAATTCTCGATGGAAATCCGTTTGAACCATTTGGAAATGTCGTTTCGAATAATTTAGTGACCGAATCATTCACTGCAAATCATGTGGTTCAACCCTATACGGACATGTATAGCGTCTATACGAATAATACTTTCAATGTTTCCATGTCCATCTTTATGAATGTTTCAGAATTGAATTTTAATTTAATTCCAGGAAATATCTATGAAGGAAATTGGACATTTTATAATTTTACGAAAATTCCATTCGATGACATTGGACTGTTGAGTGAGAAAAGAGAACCAATTCCTCCTCCTCCTCCTCCGCGACCTTCTCCCAAACCAAGTTTGTCTCCCAAAAAATCATTGTCGAATAATCGTCCATTGGTTTCAATGTCCAAAAGAAGTGTTTCAAAAGCAAGTTCTTTGGGAAGATTAGTTTCAAATTTCAAGTTGATGACGGGGTGCGTGTTTGTGATGTTCATGATGGTATTGTGGTAATTAAGAAGTGACAAGTAAATAAACAGCAATTTGACATTTTTGTAACCTTGATCTCTTTTTCACGTTTAAAACAAGGCGTGAATGGAACATTTGCGAACAATACCAAATGTTGTAACGACCCTCCAAATGGGTTTAGTGCGCGTTGTGAGGAAATTATGAAGTTAGGAATGATGAGAAAACGCGATTCATAAAATGTAAGTTGAAAAATCAGGATTAAATCCTCATGATGATTATGTCGTTGCCATTCTCTCATCATCAATTTCATCATCATGATCAATATGAACATACATCTTGGTTTTGTCCATTCTTGTCTAATATTCTTCTGCTTTCCTTCGTCGATCCAAAATTCCCAAACCACCAACTCGATAGACATTCCCATTGCATCGGATCATTCTTCATATGTGAATGCTGTTCTTTCTCGTGTTGAAACCACTCATTCCAATGGTACGCTTTTGACAATTCAAGTCAGAGGCAGGAATTCTTGTCCAATTCGAATAGTGTCCATGTTTTTCTCTGTGAGTGACAGCTTGAATGATACACATCCACTGTGTCAAGAAGGTCAAACAGTCGTGTGGTTTCAAACCGTTCCATTCCCTCAACGAATATTTATTGTTCTTGTGTATGAGTTTCAACCAGAAGAAGTGAGGTGGTTCGTTTTCGAGTTGTCGTTGAATCCCAACTTGAGTGTTTCAGGGGTGGATTTTGTTGCTTGTCGAAATGATGATGACCAAGAAGACAATGAAGATTCTTCAAAGTCACATGAACAAGTTGCGATGTGAATTTTGAACACATGTGTGAAAATGGTATTCAGTATATAAATATATATATAGAGTGTCTCCTCATTCCCAAGACAAAGTGAGAACCACTACAATTCTCTAAAATCAAAACTTCAAATTTAATGCATCATGAAAATTAAATACTTTCATAGGCTGATGATTGCTTTGAGAATTTAGCTCTCAACTTCTTATACGCAAAGTATGCAGCACCAATCAAGAAACAAAACAAAAATTCGCCTCCAAACACTCCAATCAACATGTATTGCCAGCCGTCACGGACAATCTTTGGAGTACATGAAAAGGAAAGTGGCGAAATGACAGCACCTTCTTCCTTAATATTCCATGACAAGAAGAGATGTTCATAATTTTGTTCGTGTTCGTATTGTGAACTTGGATACAATTCAACCTTAAACGCACGAACAATACCATGGTTGGGTCTCATTTGTTTGTAACCGAGAGGTGTCTCAAGATTGGAAGCACTATACAAATGAACATATCCCGACAATTCAGGTTCTTCATAGAATGGTGCACCATCTTTCTTGGTTCGAACAATGGAACCGACAGCAATGGTGTCATTGTAGCCATAAAAATTGGCACTCACAGTGAGGGCTTCAGAATTTGAAATTTGCACATCGTCAATGTTGACGAGAGAGAATTGTTCAGCATTGGCTTTTGAGGTTGGGAACGGTTGATACTCGTCCATGTTGACCGAATAAATAAAGCCATTCTTGTCAGTTTCTCCTTCTTCGGAAAAGATGGTAGTACCCACGAGAACCAAATATTGGTCATTGCTTCCTGATAATACCATGTCATTGATGCGCCAAACTTTCATCTTGTTATTCGAGAAGAGGTCAATGGTTCGCTCTGTACTTGTGAAAAGTTGAGCAATTTTAACAACCTTGAGGTTATCTAGGGAGGATGCATCAAGAGTCATGAGAACGTTCACAAACTTGACACTCTCTTGTGAAGGGAATTGAATATTTGTGTTGTGACCAAGGTTGTGGAAATTTTCAAAAGCGGTTTGTTGTTCTCTAAATAAGGTAAAGTAGACATGAATTTGTTGTCTTGAAGCACTGTAGAGGAATTTGACATTATTGGCATAGATGGTTCCACCGATTCCTTCACCAACAATTGAAGGAACCAATAAAAGGCTCGAGGTCACTGCAAACGATTCATGGAATGGAGTCAATCTCAAAATACGAATAGCATTAGCATCAGATTTGTGCAATACCAATAACTCGTTTTGATTTGAAACTGGGTTCATAATGTCGAGCATGAGAATGGGTTTGTAGAAGATATCGGAAGTGACTGCATTGGCAGAAGCAAAAGTTTCAAAACCGATCGAGTTACCAGATTTGCTTGAATAGACTGGGTCCTTGGCAAAATTGTTAATCAAAATTGGGAAATTAGTAGCAGCATCTGGTGTATCTGGTTGCAGAGCATAATTAGTCACGTCCGTAATGTATAAATATGGAACTGCTTTGGAGCCGAGCTCAGTATTTTGATCACCATATTGTCTACCAGCAATAATACTCCAAAGGAAATGTTGTCTCTTGGAATTTTGATTCACGACAGTATTTGGAAGCATAATCACTCGATCACAGTATGGAATGCCAGCTTTGGTGACATTGATATTGCAGTCCATTAATTTCTGAATTTTGCTGGACCCCAATTTCGAATTCATCATGTAGACAGACTTGTAAAAATGTCTGTCCTCTTGATTTTTCACCACATGATACATCATGGCAAAAGTAGTTCCCTTGAATGTATCATTCATTGAAGGATCACTATTTGGCAATGGTTGAGCAGCACCATCTACATCAATCAAAAATTGGAGCGTAGGTAATTGAGGGAAATAAATTGGATAGATTCCGTTCAAAAACGAGGCATCTGTACCATTCCAATGCAGTAACGTAACATTTGAAGAGGAGCAAGGATGTTGTTCCTGGGCCGATGCGGTACTACTCATGAAAAAACTACCTAGTAACATTATCCATACGGAAAGGATGGTTGTCGTCATGATGAGCCTTCTGTGGTTCATCACTACGGATGATGATGATGTTATAGCTGATGAGCCTATGAGAGAGTTCATGTTGTGTGGATGAGTTGTTCACTTGACTAGTTTTAAAGTATCAATAATAAATTAGAAAAATACGAATGGTATTCCCATAAAATCTCTCTGATGAAAGCAAAGGTCTCTCTCCCGAGAAATTCAATGATGTGATGAACACAACACGCTCAAGAAGTGCTTATTTTTTTTGAATTCACTAATTGTTGTGGGAACAGCGGAGTTGAATGTGTCCAAGCGTGGACAAACCTTGCGGCAATAACTCCGGACCATGTTGGAATACACAGGAAGGATCTTCGTGTGAACACTTGAATGCAAAATGAATAGAAAAGGACGTGCTTCCCTAATGTTGCAGTCAACTGTTGCTCCAAAAATTCAAATTAAAAAAAATTAACCGTTTGAAAGTTTTCAATTACTTGGGTTCTTCATTTGTTTATTCTATTGGGATTATCAATCACTGGAATTTTTGAAAGATACACAGAATTCATGTTGTTTAAATCGGAAATATATTTTTGAAATTTTGCCGTTACAGAATTTTATTATCATCATCATTGCCATCATCAGCGCCTTACAAATATATACTTTCAATAATTCATCGTTAAAACATCAACAACAACAACACTCGAAATCTGAACAAAATACAAGGATATTGTAGTCATTCTCATACAACAAAATGCCTGAAATTTGGTGTACTACTTGCAATGCCTATGTCAATCCCGAACAAGGAGCTACTTCTGGACTTTACTGTGGTGAATGCGGAGAGGAATTGGAGGGTTTTTCCTTTGAAGAAGGAATTGAATTTAATGAAGATCACACAATGGCTGGACATTTCATTTCAACAGAACGAGCTGCTGCGAGTGCAGCAACGGCTTTGGCAGGCGTTCCACAATTTACCTATGACGAGAATGGAAAATTGGTATTTTCGTCAGCCGTGCCACAATCGACCACATCAGACTTGGATCAACCCATGACAGAGAGTCGACTTCAAACCATTGAAAAAGCAAAGAAAAGAATTGCATCCATTGCACTCATGATGAAAATTCCCAATCATTATATTGATAGAGCCACCAATACATACAAATTGGCCTTATTGAAAGGTTGCACCAAGTCGAGAAATCCAGAAATTGTTGCCGCTGCATGCTTGTACTTTGTACTACGTCAGGACAAGCAACCATTCATGTTAATGGATTTTTCAGAGGCCATGAAAACGGACGTCTTCTTAATTGGACATTGTTTTTTAGATTTGATGAATGCATTGAATTTTAAATTACCCACTGTGGAACCATTCTTTTATGTGAGAAGATTTGCGAATCGACTCTTACTCAACTCGATCAAGGAAAATCAAACACAACACCAACACCAAGAGGCAATCAATAGAGTCATTCAAACCACGCTAAAATTAATTGCAAGCATGAAGAGAAATTGGATTCAAACAGGACGAAGACCTGCAGGTATTTGTGCAGCCGCCTTGCTTGTTGCTGCTCGAATTCATGGCTTTAAAAATGTTTCCAAGCAAGATGTTGTCAAAGTTGTAAAAATTTGTACAGTCACGCTCACCAAACGTTTAATGGAATTTGACAAGACAGAGACTGCACAACTCTCCTTTGATGAATTTGAAAAACGAGAACAAGAAATTAATAATGGTACCTTCCAAGGAACGATTGAAGTTTTGGATCCTCCAGCCTATTCGAAATCTCTCAAGGAAAAGATGAAACTTTTGGAACGAGACAAAAGTAGAGACAAGGAGTCCTCTCTGTCCGATGCTGAATCTGTAATGTCGTCACAGAGCGATACTCTTTTCACAGATGTCAACGATAAGGATGTTGAAGAGGCCGAACAACTCATGCAAGACAAGGATATTGAACAAATTACAACAGAACTTGAAAAGGGAGATCAATTTGCTCGAAAAGAACGTGAAAAGGCAAAGAAATTGGCCGAATCAACCCCTGTGATTAATACTCCTCCAAATTCTTCTCAACAACAGACAGTATTGACCTTAACAAATACAAGTGTGGATAAAAGCTCAGATGACAAGAACCTTGAAGAAGCTCACAATGAAGAGTTTGATGAATTTGAAAATGCTTTTGATGATCACGGTGATCGAAGTAAAAAGACACAACTCCAGACCAATAATAATCGAGGAGATGATACAATTTCACAGACGACACAACAACAAACAGTTCAGCCGCAAGAAGAACCACCTGAAGAAGAAATTGACACACTCTCTGATTTTGAAGATGACTCTGAAATTGAAGAAGTAGTGATCACGGAAGACTCAGAAATTGAGAGTCGAGAAAAGTTGTGGGATGAGCTTCATTTAGAGTATGTACAAATGATGGAAGAAAATAGAAAGGAGAAGGAGGAAAAGAGAAAACAAGGCGGTGGCAGAAGGCGAAGAACAGCTGGAGCTGCACATGCTGTAGATGCCTCCTCTGGGTCAATCTATAATATGGGAGGATTATTATATGGAACTCAACCCAATGTTTCTCAAGTTGAAAGTCATGCTGTCTACAGAAGTGCTTCAGAAGCTTCTGCCAATTTACTTCGAGCCAAAATTGCCCGTAATCTCGTTTCCAAGTCTCTCTTTGATGAGGATGAACTTATTAGTGACACACAGAAAAATCAAACTGTGGACGATATTCATTTGGATGAAGATACCGATGACTACAGCACGTCCAATCGCTCAGTGCTAGGAAAAAGAGCAACACAAAGTATTCAAGAAAAGAACAAAATTGATCGAAGAAATGAAAATGAATTTACTGATGAATTTGAGGATGAATTCGGCGAAGAGGAAGCAACAACCACTATTTCAACTAAAAAGTATAAGGCTCGGTAAATCATGAACATTCGATCATTCGGTGACATGTTAGATATATTATTTAGATATAATTCAATTGAAGTCCATTATTGGAGATTTGAAGTGTCAGATAGACATACTCATGAAAGTAACAACAAGATACGAATATACAACATTTCAGATTCATCTCAATGCACACATTTATATATTTTAACTGGCTGGCAATTGACGCAAAAATGGGTTTTCGTGCACGTGGTGTCCCATACTTTGCGAGTAGTTAAGGGTTAAGAAGGTGGGAATGGACGGAACAAGAATGGAAATTGAATTGAAAAATTAGGAGTGACAATCACGCCAACAATCATCAAAAAAAATTGTCTCATTGAAAATCATTCATCCTCACAGTGCAACATGTCAAACAGGCAACAAAGGAGTGAAATGATTGATCGTGCTTTTAAAGCCATCAAAGATGGTGATTTGAATAAATTGCGAGGAATGGATTTGCATCCGATTATTAATGAAAAGAAAAATGGTTGTACTATGTTATGCGATGCATGTTATTATGGACATTTTGAAATTGTGAAATTGTTGTTGAATGTGGATGGAATTGATGTCAATTTGAAGGATGGTGTAAGTGTTTTCATGAAATTGTGTTTGTTGATTTTTGAGAATGAACGATAATGTTTGCAAATATAGTATGTAAGTATTGATTATGATTGAATGGAATGAAAATATTGTTGTTAATGATGAAATAGGGTGTAAGTATTGATTATTGTTTGTTGAATTGAATGAAATTCAAATGTTATTATTATTTCAACTCATGAAATAGGGTGTAAGTATTATTGAACTTATTTTCAAAATTCATTCATTTCAAAAGACTCCATTATTCATTGCATGTGAGAAAGGAGATTTGGAAATTGTGAAATTGTTGTTGAGTGTGGATGGAATTGATGTCAATTTGAAGGATGGTGTAAGTGTTTTCATGAAATTGTGTTTGTTGATTTTTGAGAATGAATGATAATGTTTGTAAATATAGTTTGTAAGTATTGATTATTGTTGAATAGAATTTGAAAAATATTGTTGTTAATGATGAAATAGGGTGTAAGTATTGATTATTGTTTGATGAATGGAATGAAATTCAAATGTTATTATTTTTGCAACTCATGAAATAGGGTGTAAGTATTATTGAACTTATTTTCAAAATTCATTCATTTCAAAAGACTCCATTATACATTGCATGTAAGAATGGATATTTGGAAATTATGAAACTTCTTCTTGCCCACAATGATATTCAAATTGATGAAGATACTCAACAAGTTGCACAAAGCAACAACATTAATTTACAACAACTCCAAACACAAGCTCGTCAAACCGTCTCCAATTCAAACCATTCTTCCACAACTATGATCAGCAATAACAACAATACCATGAGATCACCATCCTTATCATTTCTTCAGATGTTCCAAACAAGCAATGAAATTCGTTCCAACAATCCTTCCACTTCAAGTGCACCCAGAACAAGTGACAATCTTGATGAATGGAAAGAAAGAAACAAGAAACTCGAAGAACAAGTGAAATCTCTTGAAATGAAACTCTCAAAGATGCAATCCGAACATACACAACAGAGAGACCAATGGAACCACATGATTTCTGAACACGAGCAAACCATCAACACCTTGCTTAAACAAATTTCTCAAAATGAGACAGATTTGAAAAGAGTTGTTGACGAGAAACAACAGCAAATGAAGACATTTGAAGTTGAAATGAAAAAATTGCAAAGTAATCTCAATCAAGTCGTTCATGAGAAGAATCAATTGCAGCAACAGCAACAAGGATCAGATATTGATTCTTTTATTCAACGTCTCATGAATGAAATTAAGAATGATTCAATTTCAAACAGTCACATTCCTGAAGATATTCAAGTCAAAAGAAGCATTGAAAAAATTGAACAAAAGTTGAACGAATGTGAACAATCCTTGTCTAGATTGGTTCTCAATGATCAGCAGTGTTTGGTCATTTCTCAGTCTGAACCTACAGTTGACTATAATTCTGTGAATGAACTTGTTCAAAAGAGAAACAATCTCAGAGATGAATTGTCCAAAGAATATGAGAAGTATAATCGTGTGTTAAACAAGATGACCATTCTAGCAACGAAAAAGAAATTAATCGCGGCATATAATGCATCCAAGAATGAAACGACAGACGAGGACAAGATGTTGAGTTTATCCATGAGACAGTTGTCATATAAATCTATATATTTACAAAACCTAATTAAGGAGAAGAAAGAAATCGAAAATCTCTATCAACAGCTTAAAGAATTAAAACTTACCATTGGAAAGAGTGAATCAGAAATAGCAAAGATTACTTTGGATTTGCAATATAGTGATGATTTAACTGAACATCAATGGTCACATCTCGAAGAAAAACAAGACAAATTAAGATCCAACCTCAATACTCTCAACGACAAGTTTTCAGAGCTCAAAACTCTATTAATGAGCCACGTTCAGCAACATCCTGAAGTAATTGTGGAGCTTGACAAGATATTAAGCGCTTCTCAAAGAAAATTCAATGTCCAAAGAGCAGCTACTCCATCTCAAAAATTCCAAAAATGGGCATCTTCAAAGAATATCCTTCTCCATGGAGCGTCTTTTAAACATTACCACCAAATCGAGTCATTACATAATGGTCTCTCTAATGCATACTTGATGAAGAAGGACAATCAACATGTGGTTCTTAAGGAAATTGCATTTGGTGAATCGACTTATCATTTAATCATTAATGAACTTACAAATATCATTAGACTTGGAAAATGTGATCGAATTGTGAAGGTGAATGGTGTGTTTGTAGAACCTGGAATGCCTCATGTTTACATTGAAATGCCTTATTACCCGAATGGAAATTTGAGAAATTATATCATGACTCTGAAAAGTCATCAACCACATGAACGTAGAGAAACAATGAGAAGACTCATGAGAAGTATTGTTGAAACCATTTATTACATGCACTCGAAAGATATTATTCATCGTGATTTGAAAAGTGACAACATTTTGGTTGACAAGAATGGAAATGCTGTCATTGCTGATTTTGGTAGTAGCAAGAAACTTCATGCTCTCCTCACCAACAAATCTATTGGAATTGGTACTGAGAATTATATGGCTCCTGAAGTTCGTCATTCAGCTCCAAATGAAAAATCTGACATTTGGTCATTGGGTGTGACCATGTTAGAATGTTGGTATTATTTAGAAAACAAAAAGCAAAGATATGATCCTCGTGACTCCATTATTCAATACAGTGGTGAAAATAAGGTTCATTTACCAACTCCTGAGGAAGATGATGAACATGGAAAGTTATTGATGGAAATGTTGAATCTAATTTTCAATTATGAAGAACCTCATCAAAGACCTTCTGCCATGGAATTGTTGAAAGAAAATTATTTCACAAAAGGATTGACTGAAATGTTGGAACATCAAGGAATTCAACTCAGCACTCCAGAATCTCGAATTCAACAATGGATTCACACATTGAATGAATTGAGAAAGATTATGAAAAATCAGGTTGGAAAAAATTTGACTCGATTGACCATTAATCGAACTCGATTGTTGGAGCAAATCTCTTCCAACCTCTATTCTATATTTTTCAATTCACAACACAATCCTACAACATTTGACCAATATTTGAAACTCTACACTTCGTTTCAAGTTAAATATGAAAATGATGAAACGGGAATGGAAAGTGGAATTGATCAAGGCGCCTTAACCAATGAATTATTTACAAAATATTTCCCTGAATGTTTGAAGAATGAAAAGTTATTTACACGTTCAGAAACACAGAGTGTTGAGAATTACATCTTGTCTTCAAGTGAAGAGAATATTTCTGAAGAAGAAGAACAAATGTTGGTTGTTTTCGGATTTTTATTGAAGAAGGTCTTGTTGGAATGTGATGAAAGATCCTTGTATTTACCAATCAATGATTTCATTCTCAAATATTTGATTTATGATGCGAGTATTTCCAATGATGTGACTATTGATGAATCGAATAGAGATAGAGAATTGTTGATTGTCACTTGTCAACTCAAGAAACCATTGAAAGATCAAATCTCTTATTGGAAACATTTTGTTTCTCAATATGATTCTCAATGTTGTGAAAACATTTTAGAAATGAAAAGATATACTTCCAATGAGGACTTGCAATTCATTGAAGAATCATTCAGCAATGACTTGTTTTACTCTCCAAATTCTCAAAGTATTGACAAGAAAGAAATGGCAGTGAATATGGAACATGTTGATGAATATATTATTCATTCGTTGAGAAAGACTCTCTTCTCACCCATTCAAAGAAGAAAATTGAAACTAATTTCAAAAGGATTTCAATGGTATTCGATTCAACAGTTGAGGAATGTGGTTTCAAATTCTTCACAACAACAAGTCAAATCTTTACTCACTCAAAATAAGGATTGGTTCATGGAAAGCAAATTGACAGTGATGGAATTGAAATTATTATTGAATGGTCAATCTTATATCGATGCTTCCATGTTATTGAATGAAATGGACTTCTCACAACTCTCTCCACAAATTGAAGAAAACTTCAGAAAAGTTATTCAAACTCTCAATGTGACTCAATTAAGACAATTATTGATTTGGATGACTTCATTGTCAAGTATTCCATTGATGGGACTTCCAAAGAAGATTGTATTGAAAGAATCTAACAAGTTTGCTTCTCATGCTTGTATCACTGTGTTGCATTTTGAAGTGTTGAATGAGAAAGATTATGAAGAGTTTAGTTCTCAATTTTTGAACATGTTGAAATGGTCTGAAGATGCCACTCAAGAAGATAGATAAGAATTTTTTGAATGATATCTATAGAGGCCTGTAAGGTGTTATTTCACTTGTTTCGAAAATTGAATCAGGCCCGAAATGTCATTCAATTGAGTTACAGTAATAAACGCGTACGTCCTTATTAATGACACCAATTCCACCTTCATAACAATTCCACCAAATGCAATTCATAGCAGATTCCTAGTTCTTAAACTGAATGTTCAACATTGAAAACGAGGTGGTTGTACTTTCTTGCTCTTCTTGTGAATCCTCTTTGATTGATGCAAACGAATATTTGTCCCAGTTCTTCTGAACAATCAATTCAGCGTTACTTGCGTTCATTTCTGTTTCTTGTTTATAAATTATTTTCATCACAAGACAATCAATAATTTCTTTCTTCTTTCCTCGCAACCATGCTCCTAATTCATTGCATGCAAATATCATCATATGAAAAATCAGAATAATTTTTGGGCTCAAGTGGAAAGAGATCATTTTTCGCTACTGAGCGACAGTGAAAAGATGTACACACTGTTTTCGAGCAAAGGTTTTCAAAAAGGTGGCCGAGTGATGAACTTATGTTTCAACGCATCTTCTAAAGATTTATATTCGAATGGTGAACGATTTTCGTCTGTTGGAGTGTCATTTGCTGAGGAGGAACTGATTGATGAATTTTTTTCATTTTGAAACGTTAGAGAGCTTTTAAGTTTTTTATATTTAACCCTTCCAACATGCAATAAAGCGCAGCATCCTCCAATGGTCGTTAGTGGTTGAAACCACCGCACAACACTATAATCACCCTAAGGGAGCACATTTACAATTGATCAATATCGATCTCATGCACTCAATGAACTGTTTTCATCTCGTCACATATTGACTTGAATCAAGAGCAACTCGATGGAAACGGTTATGCTATTGCTCAAGATTTAACGCTTTCACAATAACACCTCATGATCCAGTAGGCAGGTGACTGGATTCAACTTTACTTTGTTGCATGTTGTTAATGGGCATCCTGGATAGGGAACGTAATTAAATTTTAGTAATAAATAAATTTGGGGTCATGATAGGCAGTAAAGCAATGTAAATGGAGATAGCATCCACATCCCATGCATTTGTATCCACATCTCGAAGAAGAGTCCTTGCAATGAGAGCATAATTGATACCGTTCCAACTTTTTGAGTTTCATGGGGAAGTGAGTTGTTCTGGTGAAATAAGGGTTACGAAAGGTCACAGTTTGAGTAAGGCTGTGCTTGAGGTAGTCGCAAAGAGTTAAACCTGGGTTGTTAATGTGATGCTTAAATATGATATACTGGTTGACAAACAAAGTCTTCATCATCTGCAATAAATGGACCATTCCAGTTTTTGTTTCTAAAAAGAGGATGAGTGCAATGCAAGAAAATTCCAGATTTGTCAACACATCCCATTGATTTGTTATACATTTCTTGAACGTAAGGTTTGTTTTTGATTAATTGACTGCTTCCTAAATTTGTCAAAAAATTAACTCGTTTGTTGTCATTAATTGACAATGCCACTAAAGTGTTCTCCTTATTTACAACATGGATCCATTTTCTAGTTTTGCTTCCAGGGAGTTTTTTCTGCAATCCTTCTGAGAATAGATAAGGAGGACGATTGTTATGAACAAATTTCCATCCATGATTCACCCATTCTCTCGCAAGATCGAGGGCCCTTTCAAACCTGCAGCTGCAGCAAACAGCCATTCAGCCAGGATAGTCCTCGCTGCCGAAATTATTTTCAGATGCAATCAACATAATCCTTAGGCATCCGGTTGAAACAGGATTTTTGCGGCTGAGATAGGATTTCGATAAGGTGATCAGTTTATTTTGCTGACTAAAAAACCGTTCTCCACAATGACGGTTCTTGGAAACGAAGTAAATTCCTCAAAATATTGCGTAAAATTTGTTGTTTGTGATAGGTAATTCCTCCAATGGTGATATGTGCGTTGGATTGTTTTTGAAATTTTGCAGCATGTTGAATATTGTTTCAATTTGAATTCTTTTGGAAGTAAAACTTCAATACCTACTAAATGTATGATCGGATCCATAATTGTTTTGAAAAATTGCGAAATGTGCTTGAGGCAAAAGAAACCAACCACCTCTACATACAAGCCTCCTTTTCAACATTCAATGCTGCACGTTTGTCATGAGATTGCGGATGGAATTTGTGGAATAATTTCTTAATATCTTCTGAAGCATGATTCATGTTGATATCTGAAGATGTTAAATTCTCATCGTCACCGAGAGTAGCTGAAAAGAAACGATCCACGACAATATCCAAATCTTTTCTAATAAACAATTCCTTTTCGAGATCAACATTGAATTTAAATCTTAATACAGTATCCAAAAGACTGTCACGAAGAGAAATGGCATTGTCATGATATACGACATAGGGCCTTCTTTCTTCCTAGTAACATGAAATTGATGAAGAGTCTTGTCTTGTTATCCTTATCAATGTACAGAACACGTTGTTGATCCGAGACACAATTAAATCTCTTTTGAACTTCTTGTGAAGTAGGTGTGGTAATGGTCTTGAAAATGTAACCAAGATTGCCACCCCTTTCTTTCAACTGTTGTTCATGTTTCCGATCGATGTCTAATAATAAATTCATTGGTTTGTTTTTTGGTTCGAATGTCAATGATCGAACTGAATAGAATTTCAAGAACAGTTCCCAATTTGGAAGCTAACACGAGGAGAGATTCATAAGTGATTTTCAAGAGACGATCATTTCCACCTTCACCTTTTTCTCCTTTCATTTGCATGAGATTGTACGTTGTTGGAATGAACTTTTTAGAAACGAATGGAATCCAAATTTTGATTGGTTCTATAATGTCACTCAACGATGTCCAATCGTATTTGGTCTTGATGAGTCTCTGTCTTGTTTCATTTAGAATGATGATGTTCATCGACAGCATTCTTGGTCTTTGGTTTGGATTTATCATTTTCGGGTTGCATTCGGAAAGAAATCACTGCTTTTGCAAATGACATGATCTCTTCATCATCAAATAAATTTAGAACAACCAATGCCATCTGAAGCATTTTCTTCAAAAATACGAATTACTGAATTGATGTTTGGTGGTGTCTAGCTCCACATTTGAATTCATTTCGTGCAAGGATAACATGCCAAGGCTTGTCCGGAATTGATGTTGCTGT